CCTATGAATCAGCTTTGGGGAAGTTGGAGATTTTTGGATGCATTTTGTTGTTTTATCATATTTTCATTTCTTGTGAGCATTCTGGGGATTGGAGGTCCTTTATAGTGGGAAGCCTTTTTTACTATCATGGTGATCTCTTTAGTTTGTGTTTGCTTTTCAGTGACACAGTCTAAATGAGGCTACTTATATAGGCTTTTGCCTTCATTCCAGATCCAAACACATATTAATATGGAAGAAACATGCAGAGTAATTGGCCCACCTCCATGTTCTCTGGAAATGGAGCAGAGCATTCATTGTTGGTGACACAAAAACAAAGCAGATATTGGCATACATAAAAACACAATTAATAACTACAACCATGTCACCCTGGCAATATTAAAAATCTGCAACAACACCATTACATTGATGAGTAATTTTGATATTGACATGTGATAAAAACTAATAAAAGCTACTACTATAATATGCTTAACCAATGAAAAATGATATTTAATTACATTAGAGACAAACAGAAATCAATTATTGACAGAGTAAATATCTACTACATTACTACCTTTGAAAATAGAAAAAGATTTTAACAATAATACTACAGTTATCTAAGTATCTAAAACAGTAAATCTTAACAGTTATACTAGTAAAGATGGTGGAGCAGAAAGTGGAGAATGAGAGGAGTAAAATTTGAAATGTAAAAAAAAACAAAGACGAGAAAAAGGAGAGAAAAGTGGGATAAAGTTTCCTATTAATGACTAAAAGAGCAAAATACAGAAAAAATAGAAGAAAAAGTTTAAAAGAATGTACAATAAAAAGGAAATTTTAAAACTGCAAGTCTCAAAAAGAAGAAAAGCCCAAAAATTACTCTTTGTTTTGGAATGAGTGGTTTCTTTCCAGAGGTTATGGTATTGGAATCCACTGTATATGAGGGAGGGATAGTAGGTCAATATTTTGTTTCTACACTCACATTATTGTTGTAATTTCTGAATTCTCCCATACTGTTCCTGCTGGGTGTGGATGGTCAATGATGTCTTCCCTAAAGCCTACTTTCCACACCTCTATATACCTCAGGTCAGCTTTCTCTATATAGCTTATGGCCTGTGGGTTTGTGAGTTGCTCCCCATCTCCCCACAGCCACAGAAAGCTCTCTGTCCATACATCCCAGGCTGTGGCAGCTATCCAAGCTGAGGTATATCCTTGCCCAAGTTGGTACTCTGCTTCCCCTAAAATAAGATCTAACCGAAATGAACCAACCAGAATCAGCTCTAGCTGATCATTAGCAAGGTGATGGCCACTGTCATGTAGTTTATACATCACTATTCTCTGGCTTGCTGTGTACTTTGTAATGGTAGATAAGGCAAGGATAGATAGACTGGGCTGTTATTTTTTCTGATTAAGTATTATTTTTTGCAAAACATGGTAAATAAGGACCACGGAGTTCTGTGGTCATTATAAGCAGGGAGGGGTTGGCGCAAGCATAGCCTGACTTAATGCCAGCCCTTTTAGACTTAGCCACTTCCAAAAGCCCTGCATGCTTTTCCTGACTTCCCATCATGGAGAATGGAGCCCCTGTGTCCTTCCTACCATGTATATAAAGCTCTCATGGGTCGATATCTATTTAGCCCCATTTTAGAATTGTCTCTTGTGACTCTCTCCCACCCAGCCACTGATGTAGGATGACATCAGAATCTCTGAAGTGTAGTTACTTGATCTGCAGTTGAACCTTAAACATTAACTCCTTCCCCAAATGTCTCCTGACTAAATCCTCTTTAATACATTGGTGATACACAGGATTTCTTCTCCAACTCTAGCCTGCCTTGTAGAAGAAGTCACTTTAGTGTAAAAACTCAATGCTGTTTTTTTTTTTTTTTTTGCAGTTCGCAGTTTGCAGTTTGCAGTTTGCAATGGTCATGGGCTTTTTCTTGTAGCTAGTACTGATGGCTTTGGAGATGCTGACCATCTTGGGGCTTGCTTTTGTGTTAGCAGAGAAATATCCCTCTCCCAGGGAACTGGGGTCAGCTTTCAGACTGCTTGTTCTCTGTTGTGCTCTGTTTCTCTAGCTTCATTTTGGTTCTAGTTTTCCTGTCAGCTCTCTCCCAATTCCCAGAGGTATATTTCCTTTTTTCTCTTCACCAAATTGTTCTTTTCCAAATGTCTTAATCCTAGGTCCTGAAGAGGGTGTCATGTGCTGCTTATCTCTGCTCCATCATTTTTTATCTTCCAAACTCAGTTTTTTTGTTGACTCTACATACTGGGCTCATTCCATCTCTGCACAGGAACTGTAAACAAATGTTACTATTCTGTAGTTTAATCATGCACACTGAGCCCAACAAATCCATGCTAGAGCGATAGAATTTCTATCAGAAAGAGGAGAAAAGTGTTGGATGGTGTCTGACATACTTGGACAATATTATAGACATAGGCATTACCCTGCCCTGAACCAGATATTTTCTCTCATGCATGGAATTTTTTTAAAGAAAATATGACCTGAGACTGTACTCTTGACAAAAGAGTAGCCTATCCAAATAGTAGATTCTTTACAGACGTGAGCCCATGTGAACTCCTGCTAGAACAGGTAAGAGCATACCTTGTCCTGATGGGCTAGAAATAGCTCCTTGTGTCAGACATTGAAGATAGAAGCATTTCTGTTTCCCCAATATCTAGCTTTATGCACAGCATACTATGTTCTCAATATTAATTCCATAATTAAATGTAAGGATGAAGAGCATAGTGATAATAGACTACATAGGAAAAATGAAAAAATAAAAATAAATGCATAATTACAAATATAAGTAAAATGAGACCACAAATTGTCATTTATCATCTTTTTTTGAGGACATCTCTGTGTTTTTGGCAGAATGATTTACGAACAAAATAACTGAGATTGACCACCAATGTGCCTCTCACTTGCACACTCAAACTGGCTTGGCTGAGCACTTAAAAGCATTTTTGAGTCACAGAATGGGAGTGAGGTGTGAATTTCAAGTGAATTATCCAGCAAAATGAAGCACAAGTGGTAAGGAAAGATAAGATCTGAGGGTCCCTAAAAGAGGTATTCAAAGTATGAAACTATGTAAACAAAATATATTAAGAATTGTGTTGCAGAGTTCATAATGAAAATCTATTCTATACTCTCTTCCACGAGATCTAGCTTACAGTGTGAAAGAAATGTAAGAAGGAAAAGTAGAAGAAGAGAGTTTGGAATTTTAAGGGTGAACACTCAAGTATTTTTTTTTAACAGCAGAATTGAGCAGTGCATAGCTTTGTGAATAATAGCAGTCCATTGAGAATATATTGAATATTTTCTATGTCAATCCTCTGATGCACCTCTGATATAGGAAATACTATTGTTTTCCATTTTACTAACCAGAGAAATTGAATTATTTGTTGTGGTCTGACACTGTGGATGGAGAACTCAGAAGTGTTGCCTACAGTTCATATTTTTGACCAGATATGAAGACCCAGAACCACAAAACTGTTGAATATCCATAGATGAGGGCAAGTGTAGGGAAGTAACTCCCAAATTAAATACAAATTACTCAAAATTATGAATTAAATAAAAACCTAATTGAATAGAAACTGAAAAATCAATTAAATAAAATGAAATCATGCCTATCATTTAGCAGAAGATTTACCTAGAAACAAGACATCCCAAGAGGGAAGCAGTAGACATCACCCTCTAGGGGTGCACAGAGGCATCCAGAACAGAATGTGTCCATCATGAGTTCTCTTGGAGGAAAAAATTTCCAAGTCTTAGTTTGTCAGAGGAGGATGTGGGACTAAATCCAGAGCAACTCATGTTGTGTTCCCTTTCAGGGAACTTCAGTTTGAGAGTTGTTTCTGGAACCACTGAGAGACACAATGAGGAGACAGGAGGGCACCAGGAGAGAGATTTGGATTTTGCAACACCTGGATCTATGCCTGTGGGGGTGTGAGTTGGCCATGTCAGTGCTTCTCCATATGCCTGCTCATCCTTTCATACTCTAACTATACTAGCTGCTATATTCTTTTCCTATTAACTGGTTCTCTTTCCAATATCTCCAGTAAATATTGGATACATTTTTCTCTATTTATTGTCATAGCATGGTTTCCCATACATTGTAAATTTCTAGAGAATAACTTCAAAAATTGAGTGAAACAGTTAAACCTGGTTTTACTTTTATTCAGCTCTGTGATGTTTACAGGTCAACTTGTAAATTAAATGAATTTTAAGGGGCAGTACTTTCCCCAAGACAGGAGAATGGTATGATGAGAACAAAGTGGAGAATGTGTGGAAATGTACTGAAATCAAGAATGGTTTGTATAACCCCATGGAGATATACACAGTCAAGGTTGCCAGCACAATTTTTAGAAGGAAGTTTCATGTCTCCTTCCTTTCCAGGAAGGATGCTATCTCAACTCAAATGTATCATCCAAGTAGAAATTAGGGTTTTAAAATTAGAATAAAAATTTTTAGCACACTCTGGTAAGATAGGTCTTGATAGGTACCCGTACATTTTTTCCATTATTCTCTCTGGATATGGAGAGCAGGCCGTTATACAAGAGGATGAGCTTTGCTGAGAATGCATGACAGCTGATTACCTACCTCCATCCTCTATCAATAAAGGCCATTAGGTGCTGGAGCGAAAGTGAAGGACCAAGCCAGGCTTATCAAATGCTGATATGGCCCTTGTGATTACTGCATAGGGACTCTGGGCGGATCAGAGAGCAGAACAGTTTTTGACAAAATTCTTCACAGAGATGTTTCTGGATATCTGCCTAATTAATACTCACATTTCACCTTAACTGGTGTATCTCCCTATATGCTATTGCTATTTTGGAGCCTTTAATTGCAAATGATGAATCCAGACCAGAAGCAATGGCAACCAATGTGAGCTTGCCAGTGAGACTGTGTAAGTTAAAAAAAAAAAAAGCATTTTAAAATTTAGAATGCATAAAGAATTAAATGAAGAATGCAGAAAGAAAATTCCATAAAAATGGGCCACAACAGTGAATAGGCAATTCATAAAATGATATATATTGTTATTTTCATGGGCAAGATATATTATTTCTTGGGGAAATGGTATGCTTTGGAGTATACATTGGGTAGTTATACCAAAACAGAGAGAGCCTTGCCATTTTCTTTATTTTGAATTGTCTATGATATAAAGAGGGTAAAAAGTCGCCAAGTTGACAAAGAATAAATGGATTATTTGAAAGTGTCAGCTGACCTAGACTAACTACATTCCCCAGTTTTCTTTTTTGTTAAGTTTCTAGTTTGGTTGAGGATCAAGAGTTCATGACTGGATTTGAAACAGGAGCAATATAGTTTAGATTTGCTATAGTTGGTGCAAATGTACTAGGATGCTCACGCATGTTGCTGCTTCTCTGTTGGCTGCCTCATTGGCATGAACCAACAGCTGGTCCTACAACCACGCTACTTACTCTTTGTCAGCATCTGAACTTCTCTGGCTGCTGGACCTGGTGTCTGTTTAGCTCTTTGATGAAAGGAGCCAAGTGCATCTAAAGAACCCTCATAATATCAAATTTTCAGGGAGAGACACTGGAAAGGGGTGTAGTTGGTTTTCCTGAGTCCTGGCTTATGATTATTGGTACTAGCTTTCTGCAAATTTGAAGCTCCAGAGAGAGAGAGAGAGAGAGAGAGAGAGAGAGAGACAACACCCTTAACAGGTAATGCATTCAGAACTTACAGTTGTGTTACAAAAAGCATTCATATGTGCCTTTGTGAAGGGGTACAAGTGGGCGTGCATGTGCGTGCACGCACATGCATGCACACAGAGTGAGAGATGGCAGAATTAGTAAATATTTTAATCTTTGCAGTAATGTGGCCTGCACTGCAACTATTCAACTACTGTTACATGTAAAAGCTGCCTCATACAATACATAGATAAATGCGCAGATTCTCTATTTGTTTCTTTACAAATCTATACCCACTTTTCTCTATATCACAGTGACCTTTCACAATTATATATGTAATATTTTACAGGGACTACTTCTCTGAGTAACTGATGGAAGTTATAGAATCATTGAGTTAAGGAGGTTCTAACATCTCTACACTTTTATGAGGAGGACTTTCTCTACTTTTCTCTCCCTCAGCTATATCCTCCAAGGCATTTTGGAGAAACAACTTCAGGGAATGCTGCCTCTGCTGCCACTGTTTCTGTTTCTGCCTAAAGGATCCAACAAAGAAGTAAATGATGGGGTTGACACCACTGTTAATACTAGACAGCAAATGAGCAGTCCTCTCAAAAACTGTAAAGGTTGAAAACTGAATTTGAAAATCAACTGTGGCCTGCAAAGCCCACATGATCCCTGCAGGCAGGCAACAGAGGAGGAAGAACAGCACTGTGAGCCCAATGGTCACATACAGCCTGGTCAGTTGCAACCTCCTGGAGCTGCAGAGCATCCTGACCAGCAAGGTCAGACTAGACCCACAGAGAATAACAAATACAAATATCAGACATGGGGCTATGACAGAATGCATTATTAAGCATAGCTCATCCTTTGAAAAGAAAGAGCTACATGAGACGTGTAGCAGCATGGTGAGCAGCAGGGACAGGGCCCACAGCAGGACACACATGACAGCTGACATGTGTCTTGGGCGGTGGCAGTGATACCAGATGGGGAACAGGACTGCAAGGCAACGCTCAACGCTAATGGCACTGAGCATGAACAGGCCCATGGTGTACGACAACATCCCCACAGCGTGTATGTAGATGTAGTACTTGAAATCAAAGCAGTCACTGAGTTCCCATAGGTAGAATACAAGAAGGCAGAAGAGGTAAAGGAAGTCCGACGTGGCCAGGTTGAGGATGTAGACTGAGATGGGGTTCCTGCTCACACGGAAGCCCAGGAGCCAGAGCACAACCACGTTTCCAGGCAGCCCTGCCAGGGCACAGATGACTGTCAGTACCGGGAGGGTCACAACTTCTAATGCAGAAAGTGAATGAAAAGTTGAGTTGTTTTTCAGGGTGGTTTGATTCATGCTCAGAGGCTTTCCAGTGGTGCTCCTGGGAACACAAACAAGTGTTGATCACCCACCGCATGATCTATAAATCTAGGACCATGACTGTGTTGGGGAATCACTATCTTTCTGTCACAGCGGAGGAACAAAGGTTTGTACAGATTAAGGAATCTATGAAATCTGGGATTCCTAAAACCTGGACTCAATTCCAGTTTTTATTGACTATTTTTTATTTTATTACTACATGTTTGCAGTATGTAAAGGTTACATTCACTGTAGGGGATTGGTACACATAAATAATACATTTCAGTTCCCTTTTCTCCCCTTTCACTTTCCCACTTTTATTTTTCCAGAGTCAGATTCATTTATTTATTTTGTAATACATTATAAAATTAATCATGAAATATACACATTGAAAACCAGACTTAATAGGCCAATGAACATATAAAATATGTGACAGTTGTACTAAGTCAAGGTATACTTTTAGATACATTGTCTGCACTTGATTATAATACAGTTTTCCTTTTCTGTCATATAT